CAAACTCACCACACTGATGGAAGCCTGCTGAGGTCTTCTGTTTGGATGAAGCATTACTGAGTCTCTCATCAGTACAGCACAGTTAATTCACTGAAGTCCAAGGTTCTGAGGGGAGGAGTGGCATCCAAAGATCAACAGTAATACTAGGTCCAGGAGGTGGAGGGTCCCAGATGGGGAATGGCAGGGGCATGGAAAAGGCTGGTTCAGCCTGGCTCTGCATGCCGCTGAAGGTTCTGTGTCCACAGCGGACAATGGGAATGCAGAGGCACGGAAGTGGCAGGCTGGGGGGGGGGGGCTTGCACACAGCTGACAGTCCTGTCTTTATAAAATATTTTGATATACTGATTTTTAAAAAAGGAAGAAAAATTCAAACTGTTGATATATTTCCTAACATCACCGCCAAAGGTGTCTTTGGTATTGTTGCTTTTTCTGTTCCCTAATGGGTATTAGACATGTATCAGGATTGTTTATAAAGATAAATTACATTCTATTAATGTCAAAATTAGCATTTTTCTTTTGAACCTGTCTGCTGCTGTTTCTTGGCAACCCAAACTCTGGTTTGGGTCCTACTTTAGGACTCATATACCCTAGTGATTTATTTCTGAGCATGAGCTTTAGCATGCTTTGATATTATACAGTATATAATCCATATCTAGAACTGGGGAAATACTTTCCTTGTTGTTTACCCAATTTCAGCACCAAGGCATGTTGATCAAAGTAGTTCTGTCATTAAGTTAATAGAACTTGCCTGAATGTAAGTCTCCCCAATTTTTCCACCTGGGAAATGAAAACTCTTCACATCTTTCTCAGATCTGTGTCTCTAAGTCTTAGTGCTGTGCTGCTTTTCATAAAGCATAAGCATTGTGGTTCCCATCCTTTATAGACTGCTGTTAGATTTATCTTTGAAGATTTATCTAGTGGCCATAGAGGAGAATTTTCCTATTAGGAAAGTCTTTCATTTTTATCTCTTACAGTAAATATACCTTGAGCATATCTGAAAGTAAAAATAAAAAGTTGCATTCACTAAAACTATTTAGTTTCATTAACTGTCAGATGTTGAATGTTTTCCTATCTTTATCTGTAAAATTTTCTTAATGTACTTAACTCTAAACACCCATAAAAATTGTGAATTCATCTCTTTTTAAAATGTAAATTTTAAGGATGTAGACAAAATAAAATGTATTTTATTTTATAAAACATTTTGGGGGGAGGAGCGAAGATGGCAGATAGATAACAGCAGGCTACAGAGGCTCCTTGAGATAGTCAACTTAGAATTCAACATAATACAGTGTGGGGAGTCCTGAACAGAGGGAGATGAGTTCTTTCATCCCAAGAAGAAACTAAGATGAGAAGAACCAATCAAACACACAGTCCTGGTGCTACTATTGGAACAGCTAAAGGTTTAGTGCTCCCGCTGTAGTGCCTGAACCCGAGTGGCAGTGACTTACCAAGCCATCCAAAATCCCGCCGCTTTGACTCACTGGAAATGCAGTCACACTGAGGTCAGGGGTCAGTGAGCCAGAGACCTGAGCTAGCAAGAAACCTGCATCGATCTGTGGTGAGTGAGAGGAATAAAACCATTCCACAAAGAAGAGAGCTCCAACAGACAACATTCTGGGCCCGGGCAGGACTGGCGGGAACAAGGGGCAGCAGTGACTTCAATCAGTTGTTCCCTTCCCAAATGAGAATTGGGGAGTGAGCTTGGCTTGGGTCACGTGACCTGGCTGAGACCCAATAGGTTATCTGAAATCAATTCCCTACAGCGGTGGCGCATAACGCAGTGAAGGCCTCACAGGCTGACTAACCCAGAGGAGAGATGGCACATACTAATACAGTGCAGGCCTCAGCAGTTTGACTGACCCAGAGGGGAGGGGCCAGTATATGCTACCCCTGTTTGCAACTCACTAGCAGACTGCAGTTGGAAGGGTCACTTACCGAGCATGCTTCAGAAGAATTGTAACCAACAAAGAAGCTGGGGCCTTTTGAAAGAAACAAAAAAAATGGGAAGAGGAAGCAACAAGAAAAAGTCCCCAGGTCCCAACCCTGAGAACATTGACCCAGGACAGGTAAATACAAAGGAGAATGAGGACATGAAACATGCAATAGCAGACACGGCACCAGTGGACATAAAGAGATATCTTCAGGACCTCACAGAGAGTTCAAAAGGGAAATATTTAGCCAAGTAAACCAAGATATAAGAAGATTAATAAAAGAGATATTAAATACCCCTCAAGCAGACACAGAAGAAGGGAGGAACTCAAAGGAGAGAGAACCCATTTGATGAAGATTATAACAAAAATATAGAATATATGAAGAGATTACCAGGATATTAAAAACTCTGTGGAAAGATGGCAAAACTGTTTAAAAGAAACTAAGGATAGATTATCCAAACTAGAGGACAGGTTTGCAATGTGGGATTATGAAAGGAAAAACTTTTTAAAAAATAACCAGGAAATAAGCAGTAACGATACAAAGGCTAGAAGATGACAAGAGGTTCTATAACTTGAGAATAAAGAATGTGAATGAAGAAGCAGGGGTACAAAAAAGGAACTACAAAGGCTATTCACAGAAATAATTAAGGAAAACTTCCCAAACATAGGAAAAGCAAATGATATTCAGATGTATGAGGCATACAGAAATCCAGCCACCTACACTCTAAGCAGAGCCACACCTAGGCATATAATAATCAAGAAACCAGAAATTCAATATAAGAACAGAATATTACAAGCTGTTAGAGACAAGAAACAGATCACCTATAAAGGAAGGCCCATCAGAATATCAGCAGACTTCTTGACACAAACCAGTAAGTTAAGAAGAGTCTGGAGCAAAATATTCGAAGCCCTGAAAGAAAATAACTCCAGCCTAGATTGATACCCCGTGAAAATCTATCTCTAGAAATTAATGGAGAAACAAGATGTTTCCAAGACAAAGAAGAACTTGGGAAATTCGCAACCCCCAATCCAACTCTACAAAGAATACTGCAGGGCATTCTAGAGAGAGAGCAAAGTACTAGGATTCCAGGAGCAGTGGCAGAGAGGCCTCAATGAATGGAGCAGAAAACAGAATGAAAAAGACAAGCAGACAACTGATGGCAAAAAAAAAAAGAGCATAACAGAAATGAGGCAGAGAAGGTTGGTTATAATCTCTAATATAGATAGCCTTGATACACTACATTAAAAAAAAACCACACATGGAGTAGATCAGGAGGCAGGGTCCACTGAGATGCTATTTATAGGAAATATAATTAACATGAAAAAGAGTACATGGACTGAAAATCAAATATGAGAAAACAATGCTCTATGTGACAGAGAACCAGAGAGTAATAGGGGCAACCAGACCAGTATTTGTGGATAGGTTGGAAAGACAGGCTTTAATAGGTAAAGGAATACAATTAGAGATCAAGTCCAGGAGGGAGAAGATTTGGAACCACTTAGGTAAATAGCAGGTTGCCCCCCCGCCCCAATTTAAAACCAAGGGTCTTGGTCAGACCCAAATAGGCACAATGTACCCTGGGGAAGTGAAAGGGGAGTAAGAGTCTTAAAAAAGATGGCAGAAGATATTGTTAATAGTGTGTCAGCATTTAAAACCAACAGTACTCGCACCACTCTGCTTAGAGAGATTTTTTTTTTTGATAAATTTTATTCTGTCCCAGTTTATCTACTTGCATTAGATTTGAGGGCACAGACAGCTATCCCAAAAACATCAGGATATAGCACAGTAATCATCTTTAATTTCCTATTGCCTTAATCTGGAGCCCTGTGTGACTTACACTGTTTTATCATGACTGATCTTAGTTAAATCTGGTTTGTTTGATTGCTGTATGGTATCGACAGATTTTATTCAAAACTGATGTGATAGATAGTATCAAGTCTGAGAGTATAGGCAACTACACTGAGGATGACCAGACTCACTATGATACACATTCTGGTTTGATTACTGCCTGTTTTTGAAGTTTTTATACTATATACAAAGTTGTGTTTTTATTAATACTGTTATGTACTGATATATTTAATTATACTATGTCTGATGATATAGTCAATTCTATTGAAGATAACAAGACAACACAGGAACTATGGTAGAACTCCTTGTACAACTGTCTTATATGTCTTTCATTTCATGTGAATATGTTTTGTTTTGTCTTGCTTTGTTTTGTTTCTCCCTCTAATATAGAAAGGAGAGAAATACATGTTAAGACTCATGCATGTGTAGAACCTATAAACAGTTTATGAGAACTGACACATGACACATGATGAACAGATACTTTGAAGGAAAAGAAACACTAAAGTACCCAGTGCTGATCCTGGAGGGTCATAATGTAAAATCCTGCAATAGTAGTATTCTTTGTTAAGAGTGATATTAGCCTGCTTGGGTTTGTTCAATCTCAGCATAATTGAAGATACAACTAACTGCATGTATGTTTAAGTGTATAGGAATGATAACCATATTTCTAATTTTTGTTGGATAGTTGAACAGAACTGGTTGCAGTCTCACTGTTTGAATACCCACTTTATATGCTCCACTTTAGTATCCTGAATAACTATTTGTAAGAGGATAATCTGTAATCATCAACTAGTGATTTCTTACTGTTTATTTTTTCTTTGAAAGCATGTATTATTTCTACCCATTTTCTGTTTTGTTTAGTCTTTCTTTAAATAAAAATTTTAAAAAAGATTTTGATATACTGATAGAAAAAGCAAAAAAAACCTAAAACTGTTAATTTTATTTCCTAATATCTCCAGGTTAAAATAGAGGAGTTAAATGAATGGTCTTTTCCTTGGGTTTTGAGGAAAAGACTTTTTATCACCTAATATTAAGATATACATGTGAAGTAGGTACTGTAATTCTTAACCTAATTCCATTATTGCAGCTGTCATATTATCTCAATTATAAAGAAGATTATTTCCTGGTAATTATTCTCTTGTCCAATTATTTTTTCTAGGCTTTAGATGAGGAGGGAAAAATTGCTCATTTTAAAAGAATAACGTTTGCTTGTGTTTTAGGAAAACCTCACAGCTCTGGTAGCTCTGAGCGGATTCAGCTCTCAGGAATGTATAATGTTCGCAAAGGCAAAATGCAGTTGCCAGTGAACCGGTGGACCAGACGCCACGTTATTCTGTGCGGGACCTGCTTGATAGTATCATCTGTGAAGGACAGCTTGACTGGAAAGATGCATGTTTTGCCACTAATTGGTGGAAAAGTAAGTAAAGCATAAACTAAAGAAAAAAGGAGTAAAAGGTTTCCCAGCATCAGTAAGAACCTGTGTAACAAAAGGTTGATGTTTTTGCCTCATTTGAAGTCTTACTCTATAGAGATCCCTTTTTCTTCCTCATGGCAGACCAAAGAATCCCATGTAATTCCATGGAGAAGTTATTGGAATTATAATGAGTTAATTTCATATTAGGAAATAACAATACCATTTCCTCATGTGCGGCCCTGGTGATCTTAGCATCTTCAGCACATGCATTTTACCTACTGGAGTGAAAATGAATCAACCAGAATGTCACTACTGTATTTTAGAGTTGACTTTGCTATCTTAAGCATATTTTGAGTATACTGATTTCTAAGTATATGATCTTAGGAACATTCAAGCATGCCTACTGAGAGTTAAACTCTTTTAGTGCTAAAGTCTTAGAATGGACTTTCCCTTACTCTTTTTATCACTTGTAAAATAGAGCCATATTTCTTGGGAAAACATTAAGTACTTTTCTTTCTTTCCTTCCTTCATTCCTTTGTTTCTTCATTGTTCCTTTGTTCATACTGGGAATCAAACTCAGGACCTTGCACTTGCCAGGCAGACACTTGTGCTACTGAACTCAATCCCCAGCCCCTAAGTACTTTTCTATGTCAGATTTATTTATAACTCCTAGTGTTGGCAGTTGTAACATCACCAAAGGTATATATGTCAGTTTTAATCTTTTTAAAAGTGACAAATGTCTTGTCTGTGCCAGGGGATATGAGGAAAGTAAAATTGGATGAGAGTAGTAACAAATGGTTTTATTGCTAACCTGCTATCTAGCAAACCTAATTTTCATTCATACATTTAAACTAGTCTTTCCATGTGTGTAAGGAGAGTGTATCACTTGTTTTCCCCTCTACTGTTATATTTTCTAATCCTAAGAAAGCCAGTTCTTCTTTATTTCAAGCGTAGGCTTTGGCCAGATTGAAAGCTTTGTTTAGATTTCAGTCTTTCATTTTGAAACCATTGGTCCTTAAGTTTTGTCTGAGCACTGAAGAATTGGTGACTGAATTTACAAGATTTTGTCTTTTGGATGGAGTACTAAAAAATTAGTCATTATTACCATTGTGGGTCATTATTTTAAAGAGTATATTTAATGTTTGATGCTGTTATATCAGCAGCCTCTATTCTTTATAATGCTGGGTTTTGCATAGGCAAATATAACTATTAAATATGCTCAGGAGTCACTGTGCTTGCCTTTGAAGAGCTTACACTCAGCAGAAGGTGAAGAATGGAAACAATAGGAGAGAAGTACTATAGGAGATGAGTGGAAGAAAAGGTTGTATTTTGTGTGTGGAGGAGGATAGGGAGTTTTATAATGAAAGAGGTAACAATGATAGAACTTCAAGAGTGAAAAATCTTTTGACTATGAAGGTGATCATGAGAAATACTACTGTGCTCAGAGAGGCAGAGACAGGAAAGCACATGGAATGTTCAGATAAGGTCAGAACATACGGATATAATTAGCATTTCTATTCAGAGCTTGTCCTACTTCCCAAGCTTATTATTGGATGAACTTCTACCATTGAGTGAACTGAAAGTTAATAGCTTCTTCTGTTTACAAGTAAACCAGGCAAAACCTGTTTTGCCACCACGCCTTTAAAAATAATTGAGTACATTGAAAACCTGAGTCTTTAAGACCTTTGACTGAGTTAAGAAAAACCACTTTTTTTACAATCTGATCTTTCATTAATGATTGTCTGTTCCTTTTTTCTATTTTTTCCTGTTGTTAAAGGAAAAAGAATCAGCGGACAAGGATTTTAATGTCTGATTTACATAGAGAAGAGCAAGAAATAAGATGTGAGATAGATTGGTCTTGACCTGTCTATAAATGGTGTGCTGTCAAAATTAATACTTTACTAGAGCATGCTCATTAGTTTATATTTTCAAATAACAAATGCTTTTGTTGTTAAATATTTTCTCTTAAAATTTGATTGTTGAATAATATTTGTTTAATTAATAAGTAAAATTTTTATTCATTGTTATCTTAGATTTAATTTTTCCTTCAGAATTGGATAGATTTTTAGATAATGTATTGTGATGCTTTGATATATATTAAATTATGAAGCATAATAAACTGAATTACTGGTAATTACAACTCGAGGAATTATAATATAACAATACCATTAGTTCTTCTACTTATATTTGCCTTACATCAGTCCCATTAACTGCCCTAACCCTAAGATATGCTGTCCTAAATTGTGTCGTCATAACTTTATTCATTTTTTGAAACCAGTTTTATCATGTAGTTATATTTTGTTTTTAGAATGTATAAAAATGAATCGTATTGTGATTTGTGATGAGCTTGTTTTCACTCAGTACTGCATTTCATAAAATTTCATGTTATGTGGTTTTTATTTCTGTAATGAATGCTTTACTCAGTAGAGATTGCATACTTTGTAAAGGAATTTTCCTCTTGATGAACCTTTGGTTGCTTCCAGACTTTTGTTATAAAGAGCACTGTGGATATAATGTTACAGTGATATGTGTCCTAGTATGCAAGTACTATTTGGAGCAATTGTTTGGGCCAGGATTACTATGCCCAAAGGATGTTTGGTAATATGTAGGATTAAACAGTGAATGTATTAGGCTTAAGTTATGCCATGCTAACAAAGCCCCCAAATATTGGTGACTTAGATTATTTTCACTCATATTATATGTCCACTGTGAGTTGAAGTTGAGAGGTGGAGATTTCCTCTTTTCCACGTTCGTGCAGCGACTCAGCCTAAGAGAGGCTCTGTTCCTTTGTAACTTAATATTTGTGACATGTTGAGTCACAAATGGCAGGGAAAGAGGTAACTGCAATGTTTTCACTGTCTTTTGTGTATTTGGAGCCATGCCATTTCGCTCAACCCCTTATTAGCCAGAACTAATTACTTGACTACCTTCAACAATCCTAGGAAATGTAGAGAAGTGGGTAAACTGCTTGATGAGTACTAGTATTTTTGCTATAGGGGCACTCAACATTTGAAGGATAAGGACTTGGAGAATATCCTTGTGCAGAACTGAAGAGTTATTCAGTTCAAAATTTCTGTAATGACCCACTTGAGAAATACTGTTCTTGGGTACATACTTAAGAATGCAGTTACTTGGGTTTAGGGCATATGCATGTTTACTTTCACAAGAGGATAGCCAGGTATTTTTCAAGATTGTTGTACAATTTTACACTCACATTAGTATAAAAGTATTCTCTTTTTTGTCTTCATCATCACCTTATTGAAGTATTAATGAAAATAGGTTGTACATTTTGGTAAGTTTGTTAATTGTAAATTCTCACAAGCATATTTTAATTACTTTTAATACGTCCATTAAACCTTCACCACAAATAAAAGTGAACACATTCTTCATCCTCAGAAATTTCCTTGTGCTTCTTTGTATTCCTTTTCTCCCTCCCCTTCTTACTCTTCATTCTCAAGAAACCACTTATGTGAATTATGCCAGTGTAGATGAATTTAAATAGCATTAAAAGTTATTGCTTTTCCCCCCACCCCGGTCTTTTTAATAGAATATTGAATAGAAACAGTAGACACTTGTCTCGTTGATGATTTTAAGTGGTGTCTTGCCAGGTATAGTGGTCCACACCTGTAATCCCAGTAATTAGAAGGTTGAAGCAGGATCACGGTGAGTTGCAGGTCAGTCAGGGACATATTGTGAGTTCAAGGCCAACCTGCACCGTATTGAAAGACCCTGTCTCCAAAGGAAACAAAGAACATCAAAAAATAAAAACTGTGAAGAGTGATATCTCATCATTAATACTATTTGCCTGAGATGTTCGATAAATATTCTAGGTTAATTTAAGTGAGTTACTTGTATATTAGTTTGCTGAAAGTCTTTTAGCATCAATGATGAATAGATGGTGAATGTTGTCCACTGTTTTTTCCACAGTTGTGGGGATGATCATGTTTAATTTTTTAATTGGTCAATGTGACTACTGGTTAATAATATTAGTTCACCTTTCCTTATCTGAAGTGAAGTCAACTTGTTCTTCATGAATTTTTTGTTTTGCTGAGTTCTGATACACATTTTAGGCTAAGTCTTCATGACTGAGGTCACCAGTAATTTTATATTGTTACTATTCTGCTCTACTTTTGATTATATTGACCTCATAGACTGGGTTAATGTGTTTTTTTTATCTTTTGTTTGGTGAATTTCTGCACAAATTTGGGATGATCTGTTTTTTGAAACTTTGGTAAAACTCACCGTGGGCTGATTATTTTTTTTGTTTTAATCTTTTAGTTTCTTAAATGATATAGGATTGTTTAGCTCTCTAGAGATCTTTTGATTTACTATTGGTAAAATACATGTTTTCTAACTATTTGCTACAAAATTATCTATGATCTCTTCAATCTCTAGTGAATCTGGATTCCAGGCATCTCTGGGTTCCTGTGTCTAACTCAGTGCCTGGCATACATGTGAATCCATGTCTGTCATGTTCTTTCAAAACATCTTCTTCCAACAATAAATTGACAGTGAATATAATTAAATATAATTATAAAAGATAAAATTCTATACTTTAAGGACAAATAACCATGGACAATTTAATAGGCAAGGCACAAAATAGTGAAGGGACATTTTCATGACAGTTTACAATGCCAAGGATGAAGAGAAGACGCTAGAAAGGCTCTGAAAAAATGAAACAAAATTGTCATATATAAAGACTCATGAATCCAAATTATTTTTGATGTTTTTAGAGCAAAATGAGCAACAACATTATAAATAGAAATTGTTTGAATATATATTAGTCTAATTTACCAAATAAACACAATCAGGGGTGAAGGTAAACAAAGTTATTTTAAGTAACTGTGCTCCCTTTCTGTTATCTCCCCCCCTCAGTGATAGAATTGTTACCAAAAAATTGTCATTCTCCCCATGCCCAAGGAGAGATACTCCCCTTTCTATCTTAGCCAGATAGAAAACGAAAGTTGAATTTACTTACTCAGTGACCAAAGAATGGAGAAGTAGTATCTCACCTCATCCTTTTAATTCACCTACAGTTGACAGGTTGTAGATACAGATTAGCAGAAATGCAGGGAAAGGAGACTATTCTTGTCTTTTCTAAGAAAGGGTAGACAATTCTTGAAACTCAGGCACCCCCTTGTTTTCTTCCTTTTATGGCTTGATGCTTTTGGTCAGGGGGACTGGTGACTATGTCATTTAGCATGGAAATTAGAGCTGTAATGAAGTTAGAAGTAGCTATTTTAGATCCAACTGGCTTTGACTAACCTATGTGAAGAATTTTTGACCTTCAGACTTATTTATGTGTCCTAAAAGATAAGATTAGAGTGGGTAGAAACTCACTTAGACAGTACTGTGGGTAAGAGAATTCGACAGAGGATTTATCAACTTTATTAGTATTTCCAAAGAACCTGTGTTCTGTTAATATTCTCTGTTGTATGTTTGGTTTTTTTTTTTTTAATTTTTTAAATTTTTATTGGTACCACGGATCGAACTCATGACTGCCTGCTCGCAAAGCAGGCGCTTATGCCGCTGAGCTAAGTCCCCAGCCCCGTATGTTTGGTTTTTGTTTCAATGGTTTCTGGTTTTTATCGTTACCACCATTCTACTTTGAGTATATTCAGTTTTTAGCACTGATTCCCTCCTCACCAAGTTTCTTAGGATCTGTACTAAGCAAATTACTTTCCTGCTGTCTTTTCCAATATTAAGTATTTTACAGTATAAATTTGTCTCTATAGATCTAGTACTTTAATTTTATTCTACAAAAGTTTGATATGTAATATTTTGTAATTGTTCAGTTCTAAGAATTCTTAAGAGTATGAGTTCTTTTTAATCTGTGGGATGTTTAGAAATCCGCAGTTTAAAAGTGTGTCATTTAAAAGAATATTTATTTGCTAAACATGTATGGTTTTAAAACTTTTTATTATTCATTTCTAATTGAATTGCAGTTGGTCTGAGAGCAAAAAGGTCTCATAGACCCTTTTGAAATTTGTGTGTGTGTGTGTGTGTGTGTGTGTGTGTGTGTGTGTGTGTGTGTGTTCTACACAACTTATGGGTCATTTTTGTAAAGGAAACATGGAAGACTGTCATGCGACTTTATCATTTGGCTTTTTCCACCAGGTAAAGGATTTACTGGGAGCAAAAATTTCATTACTTTGACTCTATTATTGCAGTAGTAGGACTTGAAAATTCTCATGTAGGATTCTGTATTGTTACTCTCAATTCCATATTAAATTTTTAAAAATTTAACATAACCTCTTAAAATATAGCTTTAGTTCAGAGTAATGAAAATGTCTCTTAAGGAAAATTCCTCTTTAGAGGGAAATAAGAAACCAAGTGTCTTATTGGGAAGTATAGAAAAAAAAAGGGGGGGGGAGAGAATGGAGTGTGTGCTGCTTTTAGACAGAAAAGGAGAATTTTTCTCTGGTGGGGAAATCTAATGAAGGTAAAACTTTGTTTCCTTTGTAACTAATTGGTGGGTCAGATGCAGGAACCTAGTTGTTTTAAATAAAAGGAACATACATAAGGAAAGCGGCAAACCAGTGTGGGCTCACCGATGCCAGGTATCGTCAGTGAAACGCGTCAGTGGTTCTGCTGTCTGACTGATTTTGCCTCCCTTTGCTGTTTTAATAGGTAGAAGAAGTGAAAAAGCACCAGCACTGTTTAGCCTTCAGTTCCTCGGGACCCCAAAGCCAGACTTACTACATTTGCTTTGATACTTTCACAGAGTATTTAAGGTGGCTGCGGCAAGTTTCCAAGGTAAGCACTTAGTAATCTGTTTGGTTTCTAGCTGGCTGCAAAGTTGCTTTTTACTTTACCAGTTTCAGAATACTTCAGTCATGTACACGTTGCTTTTTCTACATGGTACCATTTAGTATATGTGCTGCTGAAATGGTTAGCAGTTTTTAAGATGATTCTCACTGGAAAATAGCCTTTTAAATATGGTTTTATATTTTCTGTTTTTTGTTTGCACTTCAAATTCAGACGGGCATCACTGTTTTAGTGTTTCAGAGTTAAAAATTGAGACTGGAAATGTTTAAGGGACTAAGTCAGAGCAGGACAATTACAAAAACAAGAATACCCAGAGAGTTGTTACAGATTTGGATCTGGCAATTGAGCTCAGTGGCATAAGTGCCTACCTGGCAAGTGTGAGGCTGTGAATTTGATTCCTTTAAAAAAAATAAAGAATTGTTACAGGTTTTACTCCTCTGCTGATATATTTTCTGATAGTCTAATCCTGTGCCATCTTTCACCTTTGTTCTGATTTTTAAATGGTTTATTTTTCATCTTATTTTGAACTTTTTATAGTTCCTTGATTACATCAGATCTTAATGTCCCATGAAATAATATATCTTTGGATGTGTGTAGTAGAAACCAGAATAACATTATAAGTAAGATGAATAAATGCTGGTTTTTCAGGTACTATGTGTGAAGATGTTTTTACATCTCACTTGTTATGAAGTGATAGGATGGATTCCAGTATTTAGTGCTTTGGTTTTGGGCGTATTTTGAAATGGTGAGATCTTTCTAGGGTGCAGGAACAGAACAATAGAATTCACTTTTGTATTTTTGAATTTACAATTAACCAATTGGTTATCCAAGTTCAGTATGACTCATAGGGCTTGTGATGTAATTGTCAAGTAATTGAGTAAAAGAATGACTTCATGAAACAGTTTACAGAAAACTAGAGAATAATGGCTAGAAAATCTTTTTACAGTACTGGCTACATCTGAATTATTATGTTATAACCTGTTCTCTGATGATGTGATGTTATTTAGGAACATGAGTTTCTCCTTCTAGAGAAGAGGCAGTAGACGGGTTGTAGATGATAGCCTTTTGATTCTTTTAACCTAATAGGCAAATGAATGTTCTGGTGTGGTGATGGCTGAGCTTTTAGAAACCAGATCCCCAAATGGCAACCCCAAACCCACTTTTTATCTCAAAGTGACAGCACTGCAGTTAAACCCAAATTCTTAGCTGCTGTGGTGACTTGGGCTGTGTGCCTACTGCGGTGTGTATGTGTTACGGGTTTGCTGCCATCGCTCTAAAGTTAAAGCACAGCACTCTACAGGAGAGAAAGGGACGACTGTACCTTTTTTTTTCAGTTTTGCATGTGGAATTAATATGATCATCACTTATTGATCAGTCTTTTAAAATATCTACTTTTATGGTTATTTTCAGTAGATAAGAGAACATATATGTTTAGTTTATGTGCTGTTCTTAACAACCAAGCACAATCTTCTGGGTAAGGTAATAGTTTTTTTGTTGAAAAGACAGGGATGATGACCAGAAGACAAAACATTTTAGTAAATCCAGATTTTAAATATGCCTTCAATCTTAAAAACCAGGGTATCTATTTCAGAAAGTTTTAGAAGGGGTAGAAGTATAGCTTAGTGTTATAGCGCTTGCCTAACATATGAGATCCTGGTTGCTATCCCCAGCACTGCAAAATAAAGTAAAAGTTATTATAATTTATGATTAAAGAGCAAATGACCTATACAGGGTTAACCAAAGATAACCAGATGTTATAGAAGAAACGAGTGAAAGAATTTCCCATTTGGGTAGGAATTCTGCATAAATATATGGACATTAAATTTAGTATGTTGAGAATGAGCTTATGAAAATGTTTTCATTTAACCTAGCATCCAGAGACAGTCAGTTGAGGCTGTTGAACACGGGGAGAAAATCTTGATCTGCTGGAGGCTATAAGCGTAGAGGAAATATGAAGTAGATACAGCTGATTGTTTGATAATAAGCTCCTTCTATTCTTAGCCTCCACTTCCAGTTGTCACTTTTTCTCATATACAGGTACTTAGGAAATTACACAATTTAATCATATATAAGGTTACTATGAAAACTATTTCTTTTTCTGTATATTGAGAAGCAGTAAATTTCATGGATTAGATTATCTTTATGTCTCTAGTGTTTAAATAAGGATTCATTTTGATAAGAATCTGAAAGAAAAACCCATCAAAAACAAAGGAAAATCTAGGTTTCTAATTTTTAATGACTATCTGTACTGTAGCAATAGAGGACACAGAGAACCAAATTCCAATTATTTGTAGTCACAGTGAGTTTGATAAGTAATTTAAAAGGAACTTTTTGTTTGTATGTGCTTCTGAATATTAGTTAAAAGGAAGTGTTCTACTTTGTTTCATTTGGGTTTGGGAAAATTTGTAACAGCTTATTAATTAGATATATTCTGCAGAAATAAGCTGAATCATAGCACTTAATATTCCTTGCCAAAACAATACACAGGATAGTCCCTTTAGAGTTTTTATGTTGGGTGTGTGTTTGGTGTGGATTATGAAGAAGAGTTCCTTTGGGAGGTTTATGATACTGGTTTTGAACTCATCCCTAAAATATTAATATGCAGCATGCTTTAAAAATTCAGTAAATACTATATGCAGTGTAAAAAGTGTTGTATTTGTTATATATAGGCACATGTATCCAGTGTGTTTTCAGTGATTGGAGTGGGGAGGGGAATACAAAGGCTCTGGGTGGTGGTTGAGGAGAAAACAGAATTATAGAAGAGCACCTATCAAATAGGTAGAAACCATTATGAAAATGATGATTTAGCTGTTCATTTTTGGGTCCACTTTTAAAAATGTGTTCATGTTAGGTATGTTGATCTTTGAATTCTTTTCCAATTAGCCTTCATGTGAATCTCAGCCCTTAGTATGACTTTTAGAAGTGTCTGCCACTTTATGACACCATAGAATCTTACTGTGAAATCTGTTTATTGCACAGAATAATGGGTTAGGATCACTGCTTGTTTTGTGTTTTTAAATTTTTAATGTGGAAAATATAAAATATTCAGAAATAGAAGTAGTAATGTTTTAGTACCAGTATACATATGATCTAATTTCCACAATTACTGGATTATGGTCAGTCATATTTTATCTGTACATTCACCTTTCTGTATCTCTGTGATACAGCAGACCTCAGACATCTCATTGCATCCACCAGTATTTTTGTTTGTGTAATTCTAGACAAGAATTTTTTAAATAAGTATAACCACAATACTATTATCTGTGTAGTTTTTTTCCCTAAAGAATTAACAGTTTCAGTGATTATGATTGCATTTACAAATCTTCTGTCCAGATTTTAAAGATTGAAGGGATAATTTAGGTATCTTATTCCTGAAGTAATATAACATGTGATACCAAAGAGAATATATAGCAATTGTTAAAAAGTTACTCTTCTAACTTTTTTATCAAATAAATTAGATGTTCTCAAGTATTATTAGCTAAATGAATGTGAAAACAACTTAGTACTGATTCATTTTAAAGCTCAGTATTTGAGATTGGAGTAGTAAAATAATTGAATTAAAAGTGAGGAGACCTTATAGTTAAAAATATACGTATCAGAATTGCTGAAGACCAGAAATATTTTGGATTTCTTTTTCTGATATTGGATTGTATTCATCTACATAATGGGATCTCTTAGGGGAATAGTACCTAGATCTAAACATATATTCGTATTCCATATAGACTTTGCACACAAAGCCTGAAGGTATTTATACAATATAAAAGGGTACACCTGCATTTTTTGGCTATAACGTGTTACATTTTCTGCTTGTGGCATTCTGTTGAAAATAAAAAATTTTGAATTTTACACTTTCACATTGAGGGTGTCTAACTGATATTATTTCTAAGAATAGGCACTTTCCCCCTAGTTCTCTTTTGTACAGGAAAGGAGAAGGCTCAGCATGACTTCTTCCAAGGCCCAGGCCAGTTTGGTTAGTTACATCATGGTGAGGATCAGCCCAGAAACTCAGGGTCATTAGCTTGTCTGTGTGTCATTTTGTGTTGGTCAGTAGCAGTCACACTTGCTGGCAGTTGATGTTATCTTTTATGCTGTGTAACTCTTAATGTTAGCCATAGTGTGTAAATTCCAGGTGAGTGATGGCGAACCTCTTAGAGACTATGTGCCAAGCTGCAATCCAAATATTTGTCACAATCTGTGCCTATATTGCAGTTAAACCTCAATGCTGAGGTCACGTTGACATCTTTTGTCTTAAAAGCACAATAACATGAGTGCCCTAGATTTGCCACCACTGTTTACCATTGTTACTACTGTAAATGTCAGGCCACATTTCATGCTGAATGAAAGATCACAAGAAATGATGAATAAATACTACCATTTAAGAAATAATAAAATATATGGAGAATCACTGTTGAACCTTTGTTTTCATGTGTTTAAGAATAATGTTTTACTGCCTAGACTTAACCCAAAGCATACTTCACTAATCATTTGAGTCAAGTCATTCTAATGTAATAGGATTGAAATAGATGGATTCAGAGGTAGTTGCAAGGGACCCTTTAGTATGTCTTACCATTTTGTATATATATATTTTTTACTTTTTGATTGGAAGTTTTGTTTAGGGAATCTGCTACCTTTTGTAAGCACGATCAGTTACTTGTCCTTTAGGGATTGTGCTGCAGGTTGTCAAAACTGGGCTTTTATGGTAAGAAACTATTCTCAGTACCAGACCACTGACTAGTCCGGGGCTTTTGTGGAAACCTTTATGTTATATTTTGTTATTTTATCTTATTGATTGATTGATTGATTGATTGATTGTCTTTGAGACAAAGGTTTACTATGCCTGGAACTCACTTTGTAACCAGGCAATCCTCCTGCCTTAGCCTCCTGAGTGCTGCTGTTAATCACTTCATATTTTATACCCATTCTTCAAAGAATCAGGAGCCCTTTAACTAAGAAGGAAGTGTGTAGTAGAATCTGAAGTGAAATATAGG